ACAAGTATTCTTTTCAACTTTTAAACTTTATTTAGATGAATTTTGACATGCCACAGAACAGCCTAGGCTACATTATGAGCACATCATTTAAAAAGTAATTTGTAGGGGCGCCTGGGTGGCGCAGTCGGTTAAGCGTCCGACTTCAGCCAGGTCACCATCTCACGGTCCGTGAGTTCGAGCCCCGCGTCAGGCTCTGGGCTGATGGCTCGGAGCCTGGAGCCTGTTTCCGATTCTGTGTCTCCCTCTCTCTCTGCCCCTCCCCCGTTCATGCTCTGTCTCTCTCTGTCCCCCCCAAAAAAAATAAACGTTGAAAAAAAAATTAAAAAAAAAATAAAATAAAAAGTAATTTGTAATTTCTACGTAATAAAAAACCAAAACATATATCATTGATGTGTTAACTAAAAAACGTAAAATAATGTGACAGCACCAGTTAAAATGAAGAGCACCTCATTTCATATACATTATGTGCTCTTTTTTATAATGAAACAAAAAATTACATATGAAAGTCAAAATTGTATTTAGGTTTAAGGAAAGACGAGAAAAAAGTAAGTAAATGGTTTTATACATCTAAAACTAGAAGTGAATGGCCTTTTCTCCACCATCAATGTTGAACGTAGATTAACTTAGATAATTCTTGTTATAATTAAGGAGTTTGGAGACAAAAGCCACCTATAGAGGCCAAATAAGAGGTCTTGTGTGTATTTTCTTTTTCTTCTAGATGTTCTTTTTTCCACTTTTAAAAAAATTTTTTAATGTTGATTTATTTTTGAGAAACACAGAATGTGATCAGGGAGAGGCAGAGAGAGAGAAGGAGACAAAGAATCTGAAGCAGGTTCCAGGCTCTGAGCTGTCAGCACAGCTCATGAACCGTGAGATCATGACCTGATCTGAGGTCAGACACTTAGCCAACTGAACCACCCAATGGCCCCTCTTCCATTTTTTTCTATTGGCATGCCATGGAGAAATTGCAAGAACCTCTATATGTTAGACAACCTTTATCCTTTTTCTTCTTAAAGATTACTATTTCTATTTTTTGCTTTTCTACCATCCCTACTAGATGAGTCTGTGAATCATCTTTGAGGAAGCAGGATGAGATAGTTACCCAAAGTACGAGTGCCTAAAGACTTACGTGTTGTGTATTTCCATCTACTTTTAGGTTCTTGCTAGGCTCATATTAGAAAAAAAAAATACCATTATGGCAAATGACAATTTATAGGCCATCTGGAAATAGTTCCACCATGAGAACATAGACTCCTATGTACTGCAGTCCATGTAAATAGTAAAGGAACCATGAATTGTTAACTATGCGAAGTGTATACATACCACAGAAAATTAAAATCAAAAGAAATGAAACAAATGAATGCAAACCACTTTTAGAATAGTGGAGTTAACCTGAAATGGATCTCTAAATTCAGGAATTCTTGAGGACAACCCATCAAGAAACTCCTAAATGATATGGCTTCTTCAAAACTTGATGTCCTACAGAGTAAACTTTTAAATTTAAATTTAATTTAATCTTTTTAAATTTTCCCTCCTTCTCCACAACCAAAACCCCAGTAACAAAAGAAAACTAACAAACAAGCAGGAAGACACAAAGTCTTCCTAAAGAAAATAAGGAATTCGATCAAAAGCACAGAGACCAAGCCAATAAATGCTTGTTTATGGCACTCCATATCCTTCCCATTAGAACAACCCAGAACATTTTAGACACTCAGGCTGTAAGGTTTTGCAGTTTTGCACCTTCCTTTTATTATTTACATGTAATTAGAGAACGAATAACAGTAATTCTGAGTAGAATGACCAAAACCTATATCAGAATGGAAGTTGGGGAATTAGTTTCAGATAAATATATATTTTCAGAAAAGTTTATAACAGACTACAATTTCCAGATCATTTGCACTAAATTAAAATTCATATTCAGATTTTTTTGCAACCTGTGTTCTTCTTAAATAACTTATCTTTTAACATGCTTTAAAAACTATCTAAAATCCCATGCACACATTTCTCTTTTTTATGTTTATTTATTTTTGAGAGTGAGAGAGGGCAGGGGAGGGGCAGAGAGAGAGGGAGATACAGAAAGTGAAGCAGGCTCCAGGCTCTGAGCTGTCAGCACAGAGTCTGACGTGGGCCTCAAACTCACAAACTGTGAGATCACGACCTGAGCCGAAGTCGGACACTTAACCGACTGAGCCACCCAGGCACCCCTCCCATGCATACATTTCTAAGCTTTCTCCGGTCATTGTCAGCCACTCCTCCTCTGAACAGTAGGAGCCAACATGCAAGGTGTGGGACTCAACAACTAAAGCCTCTTCCTTCTCTTTGAAACTGCTTAGTGACAGTCATGTCTGTTTATCAAAGAAATTTGTTCTCACACTTTTCTGCTCTTTCTCTCTTACATCAGTGTTTTGAGAATCTAATGTAGTCCAATATTCTCAGCACACAAATCTCTATAAATAAATCTGTAATTCAGTTGCAAACACACTAAAGCTTGAGACCATCAATCAAAGAAAAGACACACAAAACCAAGCACAAATTCCCATGTCAGCACAAAAGTAAAATCTTCAGATGCAACAAAGGAGTGGAGAGCTAAAAAAGAAGAGGGACCCTTATTCCAGTGTCCCAATTGCTGATCCCATTTCAGTCTTTTTTGTTGTTGTTGCGTTTTTTAAAAACATATTCTTGGGGCGTCTGGGTGGCTTTGTTGGTTAAGCGGCCAACTTTGGCTCAGGTCACGATCTCACGGTTTGTGCTTTCGAGCCCAGAGTCGGGCTCTGTGCTGACAGCTCAGAGCCTAGAGCCCGCTTCTGATTCTGTGCCTCCCTCTTTCTCTGCTCCTCCCCAACTCATGCTCTGTCTCTATCTCTCAAAAATAAACATTAAAAAAAAAACATATTCTTTCCTTGTATTAAAGTCGTGTCAACGATCTATCACAACAAAGAGATCCAGATGGAAAAACCAAAATTGGTCTCCAATTCACACTACAGAATGGACCAGAGGGCTTAGGTTTAATCACCACTACTACATAAATAAGTCTCTTAGGTGCCCTTGCATTCTCCGGTTGAAAAAATCTTCAATTTCAACATGTGGAAGATTCAGCCGCACTGGGCTGTTATTTGTAATAGGTCTTGCCCTCTCTCTCTCCTGCAATACTCCATAGAGTGATGAGCAAATGTATTCCCCTTACAGTTAAAGAGTTTGGAAATTAAACCTATCTACCCAGAGGTAGATAAGTAAAATCTCACTTTATGAAAGCTTTCCAGATGTCTTTACATCCGCTTCTTTCCCTTGAGGCAAAGAAGAACTAAAGAGAGAAACCCTGAGACTTTAAATAATTCTCTTTTTGTCTGGCAGTTCTTCCTACACAAGTCAGGGTCTGCAAAGGATGCTGTAGCTGCTTTGGCAGCCTGATGTTCACAGTCACGTGCATACCGCGAAGCCTCAAACATTTTGTTTCTTCTAAGCTCAACAACCACCACTGAATGTAAACTTAGTTGCTGCGACACGGGAAAGCATAACAGGCAGAGAAATTTCAATTAAACAAACTATGCTCTTTTCCAAACACTCCCTAAGGCCAGATCCTCGGGATTAGTCAAACGTAAATGTCATTTCAATCACTCTAAATATGTCACTAACACATACAAAAATCTAAAGTAGTCATCTTTTTTTTTTTCCAAGCTGAATGACCTATCAATAATAATACCTTAGAGTTACTTAAACCCCCGTCTCCAAGGATCTCAATGTTCTATCTACCCTCTGCCACTCAAGACTTAGGTAGGATACAGGCAGAGTTCATACTGTTGATGCTTAGGCAACAGCACTTAGAAATCAAGTAGCAACCAAGAAGAGTGAGGTGAGAGTGAAGCCAATAACACAGAACGGAATGAGAAAGTGAATGTGATGTATGAAGTAAGGAAGACAAGTGAGCTAGGCAAAAGCCAGCACACTTGAGCAAGCAGCATGGGTTGACAGAAGTCCTTTTCCACTGGCTAACAGGAAGGCTGTATTCCCATCGCTCACATGGGTCACGCAGATAACCTCAGTAGTATTTGAAGCTTTGGTTCGTGAAGACAAATGATAAATTTAATTCCAACCTTTATTTTCTCTTCACTAATACTCAGCATGATGTCTTTCTTAAAGCATAGAATAAATCTATGTTTTAATTTCATTTGGAATTTATTGGTGACTCTTGGGTGCAAAAATAATGGTGATAAACACAATTTATCCAATTTTAAAGCAAGAATGGTTACTGGAGCTTACTTTTCCCAATCCTCCCATCCGTAAAAAGAAAACTGAGACCCAAATGGTTGACACGACTTGTTCCACACTATATTAAGAATAAGAAAAGGAATTAAGACTAGACCTTAGATCCACTGGTTTTATGTCCTTTTTCCTACTCCATGTGGTCACTCATAAACAAAGCCCGCCTTTTTGAGTTATTTCCTCCACTGTGATATCAGGCAGTGAAGGATCAAGAAATAATTAAAAGTGAAACACTTAGAAAGAGGAAAATATCAATAAACAAATTCTGACTTTCTGGGTACAATGGAGAAATTCATTCCAGTATCTAGGGAATATTACCAGTTAATATCTATTACCCTTTATTATAAAACATCAATCTTCCTGATTCTCACATTTAGACAAGTAAAACATTCCACAGACATGAAATTTGTTATTTGGAACAAACCTTTCGAGGTTATCCTAATTTTATGTCTTGTAACTCCTTTGTGTCACGTAAGAAACTTGAGACTTTGTCCAAATGTTTCCCCTTTCCAAAGTACGAGGTTCTTCTCTCTCTCTTTCTTTTTTAACTGAAGATCTTTGTTAACAGGTGCTTGTACTTGGTTGACATTTTGGGGAAGAAAAATCAAGTTGTAAATTTTTATTACAAATTAAAAGTGTGGTTCTTTAAGAAAAAAGAGAGAGAGAGAGAAAGAAAAAAAGAAAAAGAAAACAATCGCAACTTGCCCAGACGCGAAACAACGTAAAAACTTCAGCCCCACCTTGCTTAGCATCTGGAGCCGAGGAATTTTCTCCGGTGGAGGCTGCTTTTGTCTTTTTGCCTTCTTGCGGTTTGGGGTGTTCTGGGCCTCGGGTGCGGTAAGTGAAGAGGTGTTGGTACTGATGACGAGGTGGCTGTTCAAGTCCGTGCTACCTCCTCTCCTTGGTCTCGTCGCCTTGACATTGCTTGTCGCGTTCACTGCCTTTGTCCCTAGGCTCTTAGGTCAGCAGGGCCCCTGCAGAACCGTGGTCTAGGGCCTCGGGGCCGATTCCACCTGGCTCGGCTGCGCCCTGCTGTCCGCACCACGCATCACTTCTCCCCGCACTGGAGGGCCGGAGCGCTGGGCTGGCGCTCGGGGGGTAGGGCGGCGCTGTCGGGTCTGGCCTGCGTTAGCCCCCTCCAGTCCCTCACTTTCCCACTCTCGCTCCTCTCACCTTTCTGCCGGTAACTGGTGCAGGTAATGGCGCCCGTATCCCCCGCAAGGTGGCCGGCGTCTGTGACGCTTCCGGTCGGCTGCACGTTTCCTGCTTTGCCCTGGAACTGCACCTGCAGCATTGGCTGCCCCGCCCCCGCTGCGCCCGCAACTTCAAGTCCTGCCCTGCGAAGGTGCTTCCCTGGGGCTGTTCTTTGGGGCCGTCTGCTCTACAAATCCATCTTCCTTGGTGGCATTCCTGTTGATGAGACCATATCCCTTTGTTACCTTGAGCCGTTTTCGGGTTCCCCAACTCTTCCTCGAGGTAATCCCGTAGTTCCCGCCACAGGAACCCGCATAGCGAGGCTCCCGCCACCGCTCCCAGCGCCGCAGCGGGTAGTGCGGGGCCTAGTGTCCCAGCGCTGAGGCCGCGAGGCGGGGCTGCCGGGCTCCGCCTCGCTGACCGGGTGTACCGTGATGGTGACCCACGCCTGCCGTGGCCCCGCTCCTCCCCGGTGTGCGGATAACTAACTAGGCCTGCGGGGGAAGTGGGGCTGCCCAGAGCTCTCGGCCCTCCGCTCCTGTTCCGGCCACCAATTCAACTGTGCAACAAGCCTCTGTTTTTAATTTAATTTAATTCATTTTTTTTTTTTAATACTTATTTGCGAGCAGGGGAAGAGCAGAGAGAGAGAGAGAGAGAGAGAGAGAGAGAGAGGGAATCCCAAGCAGGCTCCATGCTGCCAGCACAGAGCCCCCGCCAGGCTCAACCAGCCTACAAACCATCAGGCCATGACCTGAGCCAGAATCAAACAGTGGAATGCTTAATGGACAGAGCCACCCAGGTGCCCCCACAACGAGTTTCTTAAATGACTACCACACTGGAACAATGTCCTAAAAATAATGTCTCATTCCATTCTTCAGAATTTGTACTAAGCTGGAAATGAACTGGGATCTAGGAAAGGAAGATGAGTGGGTTTTAACTAATAAGGGCTATTAGCTGTCAAAACCTATATTGTGTTATAAACAAGGGCCCTGCCGTATTAATTTCTGTATTGGATAGTGGAAAGCCTTTAGGGCAATTAGTTTTTTGTAATATTGAACCCAATTCTGGTAAGACATATCCTATAATTTCTGTTTTCAGTTCAACCTGTATTAAAACCTTCAAGTAAAACAGGATTTCTAACTCCAACTGTGAGTGTTTTGCCTTGAAACATATACTGAATTTAAAATCACATTCAGTACTTGAACCTTCTAGGTACAGTATGTAAATATTATTTTTCAAGAAAACATGGAATGGATGTTCCAACATAATGAATCAAATGCAAATTTTTCTGTGGAGAATACATATGTGAATTTTAGAGACATTATGGTTTCCCTGGGGCACATTTATTATAGTTTTTGAGACCTAGAAATTTGCAGTGTCTTACATTATAAGGGAAAAGGAGACATAACTGGTTTTATTTCTTACTACTGGGTAAAATAGTTTTCTAAGCGCTGTGTAAACACAGTATCTTTCTAACAGCATATTTTGCTTTTCTGATAATGTATTTTTGCAAACAAAGCCTTTAAGGATAATAGTTTCTCCAGACTGCGAATGGAAAGTAGGCTTGATGTCTGACTTGAAAGTGGCTATGATAAAAGGTCAGCAGACATCATCAATATCTGATGATTTCTCATCAGTGCCTCACAAGGCAATTTCAATCCAACAAATATTTATTGACAGCTTATTCCGTAGTGAGTCAAATCCAACTCTGGGTTGTCATCAGTTTCTGTTCATATGCGCTAATAAACAAATTCTGAAATAGCCCAATGGTGGAGACGCCTGATCTAGGCAGAGAAGGGAACAATCATAGTAACTAAATCTGACTTCTCACACCAAAATAGGGACAATGAAGACCCTTCCACTTTTAAAGGATCCTACAGAGCAAACTTGGTTCACTGTCAACGTGCAGGATTATGTTATACCAGTTGGCAAAAAAGTAAAAGATTTTATTTCATATTTTTGGTTTCATGTGTTCTTTCGGATGTTTGGCATTCACTCATGGTGACAGTGCTTGTAAAAAAAAAATACTGAAGGTTCTTCTTTCTTCTTAAAGATTTTGCCATGTTCTACATTTTGAAAACAAACTCAATGAAAACATCAGCAAAAGTCTTGCTGTTTCCATTGAAAAGACATAAAAAGCTAATGAGCAGTGTCTCTTGTGTGCTCAAGGATCTTGAAACAAGAATGCATTTCACAAATGGAAAAGAGAGTGAACAAGAAGAAAGGAACAAAAGTGAGACCCAAGAAAGCCTAATCACTCATCTCATGTCAAGTTCTTATTAAGTGAACAATTCATGGAAATGAGAACTTGATGGTGGCCAAATTCCCATTGTATATGAGTATTTAAGTGGATAGAACACTGGATTAATGAAGAGGCTGCTTTATCAGTCATTTGGGCATGAGAAAGTCTTTTTGTTGAAATACATTGACTAACCAAATAGCAACTAAGAGCTTCTCTGTGCAAGCTATAACCGGATATTCGTTTTTTTTTAAGAAAAAATGCCTTAAAAACAGGAGTGAAAATAGTGTGAACACAGAGCTCAAATTATAAGTACTGTATAAATTTATCTCTATGCCTCCTACTAAGGTAGCCAAAAAAGCCCACAGGAAACAAAATTGAATAAGAAACATCAAATCATGTTCAAAATTGAACGTCGGCTAACCTGTAGGCTCCAGAGATGAAGTACATAGCATACTATTTTAGTTTGACACTTATTTGAAGTATTGCTATATTGTCCAATGGTAAGTCAGTTATTCACCATATGGTGATTTTTCTACAAATAATTGCCATTTTCCATATTACATTTTAAAGTGTTTACAGTGAAAATGAATATTTCTGACATATGAGTTTATACTCGGAAAGACAAGCCGTAGCCTGGAAAACATGTGAATGATCAATAAAATTCTATGTATGATTATCTAATTTGTTAAATGAATCCCAAAGGAAATCAATAATGTTTTCTTCCTTAAATATGGCTTTCTCTGGAAAATTACTTTAACATTAATCCAAGGCCTTTGAAAGTTCCAAACATAGGGCAAATAAATACATTGAATGCAACAAAAATACATTTTTTTAAATTTTTTCCAAGAAGTTTTCTTGAATTTTACTGTCTCACACTATACTACTCTGGACCACATTTGGTTGAGCGGAGTTATAATATTGGAAATAATCATCAAACCAAATCATAGCTACAATGCATAGCCAGATGTGGAATTGTCTTAGTGTGAGATGTCAGAGAAGCATAGTCTATTCCATGCTAAAATTTTTTAAATATTTATTGAATACCAATCCCGAGCAAGTCTTTGATTTATGTTCTATACAAAGTATATAAAAATCAAAGCCAGTAGGGAGCCTGGGTGGTTCAGTTGGTTAAGCATCAGACTTCAACTCAGGTCATGATCTCGCGGTTCATGGGTTTGAGCCCCGCTGGGCTCTGTGCTGACAGTTCAGAGCCTGGAGTCTGCTTTGGATTCTTTGTCTCCCTCTATCTGTGCCCCTCCCCCACTTGTGCTCTGTCTTTCTCTCAAAAATAAAATAGAACATTAAAAAAATAAAAATAAATCAAAAACAAAAGTTTTGACCTTGAGGACCTTACATTTTAATGTGAAGGGTGTTCATAACTGTTAGGAGAACTATACACTCTGTGACAGAGGCAATTATTACTAGTCCCAAAAGAGACTGGCCCTTTATAGAGTATGAAGATCTTGAGATGCGTGGTTACAGGACTTGGGATAAAATTAGCCCAGATGAGGGGAAACAGGCAAAATCTGCATCCCTTGAATGAACCTGGCTTTCAGAGACTATATATAAATACACAGAGAACATAATGGATGGCAAATGTAGGCAATAGTAAAATGGACAGACACAATAATAGTGTTTATTGTGATCTAGGACATCAACAAAATATGTTCAAAGATTACATGCAGAAAAGAAAGAGAATTCATCTGAGTCCAGTACCCTTCACAGGAAACAATTGCCAGAAACATGTAGGCAAGAAGTACCCAGCATCCGGTCAGCCGGTATCCATGGATAGATGGTCTCCCAAAGACCTAATGACCTGAGGACACAGGTGAGAATGGGGAAGACAAAAAGTAGGAAGGAGCCATTCCCACTTGGATAATCTGAAAGGGTTTCAAGAGGAAGGCATTTTTTTTAACTGAGACATGATTTAAGGTTTCAGACAGATAATAATTTTGAGAAGAACATGTAAGTGCCCATAAAAATCAGGTGTGTCAGAAATATATTTTCAGCACAGGGAATCGGTTGCTGCAAGCCAGAGAAGGGGTGAGAATAATGCAGACACATCAGCTAGGTAGCTGGAAGCCAAGGAAGTCATGTGAGCTGCAGGGTACACAGAGCTGGCAGGTGCACAGGCAGCCCGTATGGTTGGGAGATTTATTGTTATAACCAAAGTAGTAAATTGATTGAGCAAATAACTGTGTGTGTGTGTGTGTGCACGACTACATGGGTGTATGGAGAGGGAGAGGGAGAAGCAGAGACAGAGAAAACAGGGAGCAGATTTCTCACTGTCAGAGAAGGGATTTACAAACATGGACAGAGGAGAAGAGAAGTCTTCAGAAGAGTTTAAATAAGAGATACTAGCATGAACTCATTTTTTTTTTTACAATATTCAGATACATAAAGAGAATATAGAGATATGTACATACAGGTGTATGAATATATGTACATGTATTTCCTAGTTCTGTTTTCTGAGAGGTACTTGAAGCAATGCTATCCCAAAAGCTATGAAGTGCTAAGTACTTAGTACATAAAGTACTAAGATCTTGATTTCTGAATACCATCCTTCATTAAAAAGAATCAGAGTTTGTGGCACCTGGGTGGCTCAAAAGGTTAAGGGACCAACTCTTGGTTTCAGCTCAGGTCATGATCTCAATGTTTCATGGGTTCAAGCCCCGCATGGGGCTCTGCGCTGATAGCAAGGAACCTGCTTGGGATTCTCTCTCTCCCTCTCTCTCTCTGCCCCTCCCCTACTCACACACATGCTCTCTCTCTCCCTCTCTCTCTCTGCCCCTCCCCTACTCACACACATGCACACTCTTTCTCTCTCTCTCTCTCTTTCTCTCAAAATAAATAAGTAAACATTAAAAAAAAAAAAAAGAATCAGAACTTTTTGGAAAGTGACTGATTCCAGGGCTAGAGGGAGGCATAAACCAGATAAGCCTCAGACATCTCATTATGCCAAACAGTAAAAAAATACAAAAACAAATGAGTTCTTTTGAAGGGGTCACATCTATTACAATTTACATCAGAATAAATAACAAGAGT